AAACAGAATGTCATTTTCTTCATAGCCAAACAGCTTCCTACAAAACAAACGAACGTCTTAATCAACAAAAGCAATCCTTAATTGCATAGCTCATTCATCCATTGCTGAAAACGAATTTGCTAAAGCAATTGCAAAAATGCCATCTGTAGTATGTTCTGTTGTATACGTTGTCTCTTCTCCTCTTGCCACTGTCCATTCGGCGTCAGTACTTCTGATCGGCATCATCAGCATCGTCTTCGTCGCCACCATCATAATCATCATATTGGCTAAACAATTCTTTGGACATTTCACCAATAATGGCTATCAAGCCAAGCAGGCGAAACAGGATATTATCCATTAAGATCATCATTACGCCGTCTGTCATAAGAATCAAGTAGTACATTAGTTTCAGACAAGACATTTATCAAATATATCAACAAGGCTTGGTTCAGGCTGACGAGCAACTCAGTTCCCTGAGTTGACAGTTACTGGTAAAAAAGTTTTGGTAAGAAAGAAAGTAAGTGTAACAACGGAGTATGATGAACTGTAACCTCGGTAAGAGACTTTAGAACTTGACATAGACCAGGAATAGCATCCAGTATTCAGATTTGCTGAGCAAACAATAAACTGGATAACCCAAATTGGTTACTGGCATATCCGTTCTTTTTTTACCCAACATAGATTTTACGTTAAAATGCCAATTTATAATTAGGAAAAATAAGCACATTTTTTTGGAAAAAAGAAAGATGAATTTGGCAGAAGCTTGCATTAACGGCTTTTTCCCACTGCTTGTGCTCATCAAGTAAAAATATACTGATTAAGCTGTAAAACAAAACATTTCTCTTTTTCTCTATCTGCAGCAAATACTATTTAATTTGCTTAATTCGGAAAATAGATAAGTGAAACCAACTGATGTAAAATGCAGCAGCTAAGTGGATCGAAAAAAAACAGTACTGGACAAAACATTAAAAATTGTTTTATTCAGTTTTGTTGATTAACGAGAAGGAAAAGGGATAGCGGAAAAATTCATACTTATAAGCATTTTAGAAGAAACTTGTGTGAGTGTCTATAAAAGAAAGAGCAGTAACTACTCGCCCTCAATTATTGTTGTAAATTAAATAAATAAACAAGTTACACGCATTTTTGAAAAAGAAAAAACTAGTAAATTCACTTGTATAGGTGTGATAACCAAAAAAAAATATTTCTTATAATTTTTCAATTAACCAAGCTAAATTTCAGCTTTTTTAAACAAAAAAAAAAAAAA